GGGAGCCAGAATATTTTCTGTGTTAACGGGTCTGGTCAACTAGCCAATTACTGCATATCTTGGCCCAAAGATTTCTTCTCCAGATGAACTATAAATTATCATTCTAAGCAAAGTTGTCTAGAAGCATTGCCTCCATGAAATGCCATGACTTTGATGTCAAGCGAAATGTCCCCCTCCTTCCTTTAGGCTAAACATGGGATATCTGAAACTAGATCTAGATCGCCTTATTTTTCCTGAGATGTGAGCAATTGCTACTTTACTTCCTTGGCTAGCAGTGGGGATGAAGGTTAAGCCTACAGATGAAGAGGGAATGAGAAGTTTTCCTGCTCAAAATCAGCAACGACCAGGCAGTTTTTACTGTGAAAGATGTGCGTGCATGCATGCATGCACACAAAACCACACATACACACACAATTCCATGGTTGCTGACCTGATCCAGTTGGCAGCTTCCCATGATTTGAACTCACATAATTGTATCTTTTTTATTATTGACAAAACCTGGATATCCATAGCTGGATTCTGCTTTGGAAAATAGGAAGGTTGAGAAGAGAGGGATTGGTGGTCATCCAGATTAACTTGCTGGCTCCATTTCGAAAGGAGATACTCTCTAGCAGCAAGATTTAACCCCTGCCCGCTGCCTCCCCATTTTATTTTCCCTTCTCAAAATATGTCTCCAAATACAGATTGTTGACATCTACCCAAAGGACCAATTCTTCAAGTAGAGCTTTGTCAAAGAGAACTTATGCTTTCAATATACCTTCTAGACCAAGCCATCATTAGCCAAAGGTGATCTATTTCCCTTTCCTTCCAGAATGCATATTTTTAAACAATCTGTTTACATCAGAGGTTCTTCTTGAGCAATGGCCAATGTCATTCTTAGAGCCTCTCCATATATTTTGCTATCCATCTGCTTTAGATTTTCTGTTTTGCAGCTGCAGTGTTTCAGCATCTCAACAATTCATTTTTAAAAAATAAATTGTACTGCACCGGGTGTTTGGGAATCCACTGGGAGATTATATCTAATACAGTAACTTCCTGTGGAATTAAATGTGGCTTGTATCCTTTCAATACTGGCAAAACAATGATCTAAACATAAACAAGCATTACTTCTAGTATGCTTAACGAATCCTCAAATGTTTAGAACCCACACACAAGTGTGTACTAAATGTATTGCAAAATACTAGTAGTGAACTTAGTTGGGTTTGCTTACTTCTACAGAGATGGGGATAGGATTACTGCATGACTGAAAATTTATACATGATTTATACATAAATCCTGCATAGGATTTAACCTGGCTTACTTTTGAGTGGATATATATTGGACTACACTGTAACAGTAAAACCCAATGCACAACTACAGAGAACCTGCAGCTCTCCACTTGTTGTTGGATTTCAACTCACACCAGCTCTAATCAGCATGGTCAGAGGTGATGGGAGTTGTAGTCCAACAGCATCTGGAAGGTCATAAGTTCCCCATGCTTGTACAGAGTAAACAGATGTAAGATTGTGCTTCAAGTTCAGTTTATTAACCATGTAAATCTAAATAATTGCTTATAGCAGCTTACAAAATCTAGTAGAAAAAAAAGATACCTCTTCATGTTTTTCTGTATCTCAATAAAAGTCTGATCCTATGTTTACTTGGGAACAAGTTCCACTAATTTCATCCTAAAATACCTGCATTAGGATTCTGCATAGCATACAAGCAGCCCGCACTATACCTCTAATACACGTGGAAAACTCTGTCAGGATTGGTGTCTGTCAGCTTCACCTTCTTCCCACCTCGAACACATTCCATTCTTTGCCAGTGATCATCCAGGAGAGGGCTTCTTGCCCACTTGAACCAGCTCCAGGTGCTGCCACCCATCCTTTGGCTCACTGATTCAATCTGATCACAATCAATTTCTCTGCATGAGGGATGCATTGCGTCCTCATCATCCCCAACTTACACTTGCTAGGACTTCTTTAGTTGACATCACATCTCTACTGTTTTGTTTCCATTTTTCGAGCAAGGTTTTTGTTTGTTTGTTTGTTCCGAAAAATGGAAAATGTGATATTGTTTCTGAAGCCAAAGAAAATGCTTTTTCCACATGCGTGTTTGCTCCATTCCATTATACACAGCACAAACTAGTGGCAAAAGAGCAGGAAACAAAAAGTTTCTCGATTCTGGGATAAAACTGAAAGAAGATACGATGACAGTAGCCATTCCCAGGAGAGTTGTTACTAATTTGGCTTAGAAAAAAGGAGTGCCCCAGTGGGACATGACAGAGGTGTACAACATTATGGCACTGTGGGAACAAAATTCTGTGACTTGCTGCTTTGCTGGGCTGAACCTGAAAGGCTGCTCTGATGCTCTTGGGTTGGGGTGCAACCTAGTTGGGGAGGTCACATAATCCACCAGCTGAAGACCGATGGACACAATTATCCTTGCATTTCAGAAGTAATCCAATGTAAAAGCAGAATAAGAAAATTATCTCCGCCAGTACAGACAAGCGTGAAATGTTGCATGTTGCACTGACTGTATCAGACAAGATTATGAGTACAGTTCAATTTCTCTTGCATTCTCTTGCAAAGTTGAATGGCTACACAAACCTGTTTGCATGAATGAGAGGCTTGCGCAGGAAATAAACACGATGTAAGTGTTCCGTTTTCCTAGTTTTCTGACGGCAGGTTCAGATGAAAATAGCATGGCACCATTCCAAGGAGGCACCTGGTGGTTATGTTATTATGCTGAGTTCAACCTAGTCCTAATGTTTTAAACAAGACTCAGGATCTGCCAATTTTGTTGCACCATCACTAAGTTTAACTCTGCAGTCTTGGATAGCTAAAAATGATGCTCAAAGTCCAAGAGCAAATGGGCAAAGGTCCTGTTTATAGAAGGACACAGGTGTTAAGAAACTTAAGGGTGTGAATTAAAGACTCTTCACAACACGATGCACCATTTTGCAGCTTGATCCTGAAAACAACAGGATAAACTTTGATGGATTTAACACTGCTCCACTATTTTCCAAATGAATGTTACATAAATCAGTTTGCACTCTTTTAGAGCAGGAATGAAAGATGGACTTCCTTGAGGTCAACCTTATTTTCCTGATCAAAGATCAGAGGTCAAAGAGTTTAGTGCAAATGTAAGAAATAACAATATTTGATCTTCACTCTGCATTGGCCTTTACATGTGGCACAGGATGACTCTGAGTGTACAATGGCTTTGTTCTAACCAGCCATCTTCTTACTTGCTACATGATTTACAGGAATCCAGTTCTGATATCCCATGCATGACACTTAGCACATATACTGATTTCGGACAGGTAAATCCTGACAAAAACCCTGTGCTCTCAAGCCTTTCAACAAAGTGGGGCACATTTCTTTTACAAAATACTCTTCACAGTTGTGAGAGTGTGCTATCCAGTTGCTATGTTCTACCCCAGAAGGTTGCAGCCGATTAAAAGCACCTGATTGAAGTGAAGCTGGAACGGAACCCAGTGACGAGAGCCCAGCCACTGCTTAAGTTCAAGCATGGGCCACCCATGCTGACTTTAAAGCAGAGCTGTTGAACGTGTTTCAGGTGAAGGGCCAGATTCTCAGGGGCTACATCCCAGCAGTAGGGAAAGCTGAAGGCTAAAGCACAAGGCCAAAAATATCAGCATAATCAGCTTAACTAAGAGAGTGTTCCTATGGCCCCTGGGTGAGCACTTCAGGCATCAGACATGCACTGTTACGGAGCAGACGGGCTGCCTGCATGGGCATCCTTCAGCCTGTTCTGGAGGGGCAGCATCTCCTCTAAAAGCTGAAGTTCAGCATGTGGCTCCAGCCTTCTCACTGGAAGCATGGGGCACCTTTTCTCTGTTTGGACTGACATACCAAGCCATGGCCCTGTTTGGACAGAGGTGGTCCAGCTAGAGTTCTCCAAGCTCTGGGAACCAATCCTACAGATTACTGCACTGCATTATATGGGGACTGAGTCTGAAATGGTCTGGAAACTTCAGCTGGTCCCAAATAGGGCAGCGAGATTATAAGTGGGGACTGGCCTGTGCAATCATGTTATGCCAGCACTTTATGATCTGCACTGGCCTCCAGTCCATTTCCAGGCCCAATTCAAAGTCCTGTTATTAACCCCAAAAGCCCTAAAATGATTTGGGGCAAGGATACCTGACAGAGGGTTTCTTCCCATGGTCCCTGAGGCCCATCTTCAGAAGCCTCCCTTTGGTGGCCTCTGCCAAATGAGGTGGGGGGGGTTCTTTTTGGAGTGGCACCACAGTTGTAGAATGCCTTCCACTGAGATGCCCATGTGGCATTTATTGTGTGTAAATGAGCCAGAACAAGACCTTTCATTCTCCCAAGCCTTTAAACCATTTCATTTTTGATGCACTGCTGCTGGCTTTAGCTTGGTCTTTTTCTGTTGTTGTTTTAAAGTTATTTAGGTGTTCATGTGATCTTGTTCTACTGCATGGCTTCAAGAGAGCTTCAGCTGTTGGGCTGTATTGAAATGTAATGAGTACATAAATAGAATATGGACTACAAGGGTCTAAAATGCAAACACCAGGTAAGATCTCAAAAATGCTGATATTTCAACCTCCTGCCAGTCCTGGGTAGCTGAGGAGAAACACCACTAGAATTCTCTGCTTTAGTGGGTTACTCACACAGAGTCAAATTACTCCTTGAATGCCTTGACCCCACAATCCATGGAATTAAGGGATTTCATTTCTAGCATCAGGGAATAAGACTGAACTGGAGTTCTTGCACAAAGTATATGAATGAGCTCCTCAGTGCCCTTTTGGAGGGATGCAAACCCTCCAAGTTAGAACTGCTATAGAGCAGGGTGAATTTCTTCAGCAGGGGCTCCAGATGCGGAATTTTCTTGTGCCCTATAACTGACAACATTACTTGGAATATTTCCAATAACAAGGAACCTTTGCTTAGTTCACACAAATAAACCAGGTCCTGACTTCCATACTTAGATATACTTATGCCCTCACTTTATATCAAATATGGCAGTTTACTTACTCATTCTTCTCAACATCCAAGATGAAGTTTCTTCCTTCTGCTGTTATCTTGATTTCTGCTTTGGGTGGATGCTGCATATAACATAGAATCCAACACTTACACACATAAACACTGAACATGATCACACATTCATATCTCAGCTTAATAAACTGAACAAAATGTGTGTGGTATGCACCAAATCCCCATCACTCATCCTTTTGCATCCCTTTCATTAACTATAGTTTCCAACTTTGTCCAAAGTGGGAAGCTGAAAAGCTTCAGAGTAAACCAAGTTTAAATCACAGCTTCATATCCTGGCTTGTTCCAAACCAGTTAGCCAAGAGTGGGTAACTTATGGACTTCCAGATGCCTTGGACTATAGTTCACACTTGCCATTGAGTATGCTGGCTGGAGCTGATGGGAGCTATTGGTCAGAGCATCTGGAGAGCCGCAAGTTGCCCTTCTGTGTGTTAACCGTAGTTTCTTGGTTGGAATCAAAAGGAAACTATGGTTAATAGGAAACTTCCAGGTTTGTTTGCTTCTGCAGCAACATAAGGAGCAAAGGAACTGTGTCCACAGCCATAAGGCTGTCTTACCAGCATCAGGAACAATTTCACAAAGACACCTATTTCTTGACTTCACGGATTCTCAATGCCTCTTCCTTAGATGCAAATCTAGTATCATTCAGTTGGACCTAATCTTGTGTAAGCACATTGTAGCTGCTTTGGGGCCAATCTTTTGGTAGAAAGGCAGAGTGTATATCAAATAAATCAGTACTTGCTTCAAAGCAGTACATGGGGCAAAATGGACATGGAGGAAGAGATGGGGGGCGGACACATTTCTGAAGGTAACTGTGATGACCCCTGAATGAGAACTCACCCTTTGCATTCTAGTGCAGCTCTACTGGATGCATTAACTGAAGGTAAAGGAGAAGCACAGTACAACATTTGTCAGTCAAGACACTTGTATCCAAGACCAATTCAAAGAGCAGGCAAAACAGAACACCGCTTTGCACTACAACTGAGGTGAAGAATCACTGGTTTACTGGGGAAGTTACAAAACCTAATGCAACCTGTTTAGTTTTCTACAGAAATTGATGCATTTCTTCTAAATGCTTCCATGTCTCCAATGATATTGTTTGACCTAAAATCCTTCTTCAGTATTGCAGTATTCAATTATCAACAGGGGACTGTAAGGCATTTCTTGGTATCACATTTTGTAATCTTTACTCTTGTTGCCTGCAGAACGTCAACACATCTTCAGACTACCTAATTCAACTGTCCTGTTGATTAATGGTGTAATTACAAATTTATTTTGAAAAGATTGCCCCAAAGTGGCTTGCTGCCACCTGTTTCATTCTTATTGCACCAAAGATGAAATACTGCATTGCTCAATGAAACCACTGCACATTTTGTGACTTTACCCAAGGTAATTACCAGTTCTTAAATGTTTCACATTTTTTAAAAATGAAATTCTTGAATGCAGTAGAGGCTTCCTCTTGGAGTAGAGGAACAACAAATATTTCCTGAAGAATATCCCTGTTGTAGATTTGCAGAATTCTAGTTTTTTAACAAACGTGGTCAGTCTGCATGGGTGTCTCATAAAGACTAAAACCTGTTTTACAAGAAAATTGCGATAGGACAAACCATGAGAGTTGGTGAATGCAGAAGGAAAAATAGTCTTGATATAGCTGTGGACATGAATTGCCTCAGAAGAGGAAGTTGAGTAACTAGAACAGATTCAAGCCCTCCTCTTCCCCAAAAAGAGGATATGGGCACAGGGCCCTGGATCCCTTCTCCAAAGCCATGAAGATGCACTGCATTGCTAAGCTTCAATGCTATGTAGGGGAACCATTTTCAAGGAAAACTGTAGCCCCTCTACTTTCTACATTGCTTCCCTTCCCAGTCTTTCCCTGCATGGCAGGTAAGCTTAAGGGCTGGGGGAGGAAATCACCTTGGTTTGGTGCAATCCGCAGCAGAGTGAAAATAAACACTTGCATTATTTGAGATTATTTGGATGAGAAATTAAGTGGCTGGCTTTGCCTCCTGTACAATTAAAATCAATCCTCATAATAATGTATAGATTTGTATGAGCAGATTTGTGTCATGGTTGCTGCTTAAAGTGCCTGGCAGCACTTATGAGACAGGTAACCAGGAGCTATCTTCTTCTTCTTTCCCACATGGGGAAGCTGCAGGCCAACAAACTATTGCTTGCTCAGCTCTTCCTGAGTTTCCAATTCCCTCCAGCAAGATCTGTGCAATACATGGAAATACATTTCTATGAATATCCTCAAGCATGGTGTACCATTTCCATTTTCCCCTCATGATCATGGGGTTGAAGGCTGGACTGGAGATCCCTGGCAAAATGTACCCTACACCATGCCTGCAGCTTGCTTGTTGCAAATGCACATAACTTTTGCAATGGAGTTGTGGGTTCAGTTCCCAGCTTGAGTGTTTCCTAGCAATTGCTTGATTGGGTAATCTATGTACTTGTTCTGTGACCAAGAAGAAATTATGAAATACCAACACTTTGTTAGATCATGTCAAAGAAAGCCATTAGGCAGAAGGGGATCTGACAAGTCCACAGGGCATAAAACAGGCCTGTTCCATTCCATCTTGGTCCAAAGAATATTACATATATTCTGGCATGAAAAAGATCTCTATTCTTGCTGTGCTTCTGTTTCTTCTCTTTTATGGGGCTCCCACATAGTCAACAAAAGAGAAGACCAACCACAACTGAATTATCTCCCCAGTCAACTCTGCTGTAGACTTGTAGCATTTGTTTTTTCTGTAGGAAATAATTGTGTTGAGGCTGGAGGAGCTCTCAGCATTGGCCCAAGGCCTGAAGCAGGTGGGAGACTAACAGCAACATTAACTGTATCCAACATCTGGTTCATACAATCAGATTCCTGTATATATAAGAGGGGAAGCCTTAGCTGGTGTTAGGCTACGCATGGAGACAGCTGGCATGCATTTCTGCCATCACAGCTGCAGTTTTTCCAGCTGCTGCAGTCTTAAAGTACTGCTGTCACGGCCTGCAGGCAGGTTCGCTTGTGCGATTCTATGGCAAGGGGCTACGGATGCTCCAGTATGGAAAACCATGTGAACCTTGCTTCTCATCCTTTTCAGAACCAGTGTGATCAGCTCATGGGTCAGGCATGAATTTGAATTCCATTTCAGCCAGGGATTCAACTCGAACAACACAACCTCAGCCTAGAACCATAAGCCTGGGCTAGTAGTTGTGCCCTCTGGAGGCAAAAGGCATGGGGAGCTGCCACTTCCTTAAGTGTTTCCACAAATGACAACCGGTAAATCTAGAGACTGTAACAAAAAGCAGGATGGCCACTTAGGTATCACCAAAAGAGACGACAAAAAAGAGCCTGACCATTTGCTTGCATTTGCATACATTAATCTATATGCATTGTTACATATGTGCATATATTGCACTTTAAATAGTAGTGCATCTCACCATAGTGAGGAACTCTGACCAGATGACCCGTGTCTGCTCAGTCTACTATCTGCTTACTCTTTATGGGCACATTCAAGTTGCAAGCAGACCTAGTCTGAGCGGCCCATTAAGTGGAGGACACCTTTAAACAGAGAACTGTCCTCTGACAGATTTCCCAATGGAGGACTCTCCCCTGTAAAGTAAGTCACCTGGGCACCCTAAGCAAATGACCCCAAGACCAAAGTCACACAAAAGTTGCTCAGAATACACACACGCATGGCCAATTCTAAAAGTACCTAAGACTGGTGCACCTAAAGACACAGGAAAAGCTGTGCTGGAGCAATCTAGTCCAGCATTCTGTTCCCAGCATGGCCATCCAGTTGCCCCAGGATATGAGTGCAATGGTCCCTCCCTGCCCAAGTTCCCTGCACTGATATTCACAGGTGTAGTGCCTTTGATCCCAGAGGGAGCATATGGCCATCAGGACTAGAAACCATCTTCTCCAAGAATTTGCCCAGTGCCCTTTTGAAGCCATCCAGAACCCCCATCACAAAGTATGACAGCATGCTGGTGCCACCAACAAATACAGTGGATCAAAACTTTAGGATCCATCCCATTTCCAAAGACTATTTGTTTTGGAAGCACAGCAAAAGGAAATAAATACACAAACATACCATGCTGGAATCATTCTTTCTCTTTAATGCTGTCATCAGGTACCAATTCAAAGGGACACAAATCATCTGCACACACCTTCTTGTTTTGAAAGTGGATACATGGTTTATGACCTTCACCTGCTCTAGCTCAGGCAAATTTTAAAAGGTCTTTATCTTTGAGTCACCAAATGCTAAATCTTTCCCACCAGTGCTTGGATCAGGAGGGTTGTGTTTATCAGAAAGGGATGAGAAAGCACCACCTTTCCTGTCACTGTGAGCAAACAACCCACCTTATCTTTGCCCGGGCTTCCATCTACTCTCCACTGAGGTGTTATGATTTCACGGTACACCTGGGAGTGGTCTGCATCTTCTGTTCCTGTAGAAACAAAGCCCCAGCATGAACTCTGAAAAAGTCACCAAAGAAAAACAGCACAAAATCCAGTAACATCTGATTGATTTAGCCACCAAGCTTATCAGTAGCATCCTTTCCTTCAAAAGTAGAATCTTCAAACAAGTGCTCCATCCTTTTTTGCAGAAATATAATCACAATCAAAACCATGTTATCCATGTGGGGGCATTCAGCCATCATCATTCAGCCAGAAGAAACACCCACAAAGCATTTGCTGGAGCAAACACAATGGCAGAATTTTAAATAACACAGTGTTCATAGCCTTTATCAGAAAAGGCAGCAAAAACAAATCAAAGAATGCAACATCATTAGCCAAGGATCAGATTCAACTCAGAAAACCAGCAGAATATCACTTTAGTTAGGTACAGTTAAACTGAAAATTGAACATGGTAATCTTTTGCACTTTTTCTAAAAACAGGTTTTCCCTTGTACAATGGAGTTTGCAATGTACTTCTGGGATGAAGTTGCTTAAATTTGCCATGATCTTGCCATGATACTGATGCTATCTTTGAAGAAATTCTTGTGAAGGGATTCACCAATCCAATATTTCCAGTCCAATTATCTGGGTTTGCTTGCAGTTCATACAGCCTGAAAATATGCTCAGAGTTGTTGAAGAAGCAAAACTGGCACAGAAAACTGTGGTTGCAATGGAGCATCTTGGGGCTCAGACTTTTAGGCAGGTTATTCATGGCATCAATTTTATGGTGCCACCCAGGATAATTTCACAAATTGCTCACAGGCCCCAAAAGATTAACTACTCCTGGAGAAAATCTCCTGGAAGCCAGTGTGGTGTAGTGGTTAAGAGCACACAGGACTGGGACTCAGAAGGTCTGGGTTCTAGTCCCTGCTCCCTGAGGACTAGAACCTTTGGGCCAGTCACAGACTCTAAGCCCAGCCTACTTCACAGGGTTGTTGATCGAGAATTATGTAAGCTGCCTTGTGTTCCTTGGAAGGAAACACAGTGGGCTACAAATATACCAAATAAATAAATAATCCAGTCTGTGCATTGCCTGGAATGGGATGGACAATGTTTTGGCAAGTCTGCACAAGTCAGGAAGAACAGTGGGAGCCGCAGCCCAGGCTGGGGAAGGTGGCATGTGGGAATGTGCTCCAGCGGGACCTGAGCCCAGCACCACAGCCATCCATCAGTTGGGGCCGATTCCAGCCGCGTCGGCCCATGGGTGAGAATGGCCCCTTTCAACGAGAAGGCTCTTTCTGCCCGCTCCATCTCTGGAAATGGAAAGGCACCCAGGTGAAAAGCAGTGCAGGTCCTCTGCTGCTGCTGCCCACTGAGAACCCATGAAAGCAGGACTCTCTTGGTTCTTGATCGCAGGTCTTGAAATATGCAGGTAAGCACACTGGTCTCTGAACGTGTGAAAAGTGTCCTTCCCTCGCCACGGCTTAACCATATCCTGCCGCGTGTATGAAGGATCCAGGGATAGGGCAGGTGACACGTCTTGACCCACAGCATTTCTTACCGTAGGAGCAGACTGCTGAATCTACTCTCTTTGTGCATTTATTGCCCATATCACACTTTTCCTCTAAGGAGCTCAAGGAGCTCCCGTTTTAGAATCACGAGACCCCTGCAAGGCAAATTGGGCAGAGAGAATGCAGCTAGCCGAGCCTGCGCCTCACCAGTTCTAACAGCAATGCTTTAGTCATATACCCCCCTCTCTCACACACCCATGGTGCCAGTATCATTGTTATTACATTGCATTTATATGCCTCCCTTTCTCCTTTTCTGAGGAGGAACCCAAGGAAGCTTATGCAGTTCCATTTTCTCACAGCAACAGTCTGATGAAGCAGGTTAGCCTGAGCATTTGTGGCGGGCCAAGAGTCACCCAGTGGGCTTCATGCCGAGTGAGGACGAGCCCAGTTCTCCCCAGTCCCCAGTCCAACGTGCTAACCACCAAGCCACACTGCCTCTCTGAGAGTTCTGATAGCAAAAGGGTTATGGGTCTCCCTGGTTAGCCTGCAATTACAGGCTTCCACCTTTAGCCCAATTGCCTGGTTGCACCATTCATTACCGCTGCCATTCACTACCCCAGCTGGTCCTGCCTGACACCGGATTGCTGAAACTGGGAAACAAGAATAAAAAACTTCAGTTCTATTTCTGAAGTGCTCCCCTGGGCTGGGCACACCTGCTGAACATCCTTTCAGAAAGGATGTGTTATTTCATCTTTGCTAGCGGAACAACAAGAATCAGAAAAAGGAAGCCGCAACTATTACACTGCCTCCTTCTAGAGCCATTCAGCACCTGCTATTTATATGAGCATTCTCATGTAGTTGAGTGATAGATATATAGATACATATCTAATCAACAGAATATATTATACAGATATAATATTCCCTTAACTAAAATGTAACAATCTTCCTCCCACTTCAGGTTCCCACAGCAAAAGGCACGGGCTTTCAGTTCCCTAGGTGCAAGCTTCCCCAGCCTTAAATAAAAAGCCAAAATCCTGCTTACATGCTCTCAATATTTATAGTCACGTCTATTCTGATGGCTCGTGCATTACTCTTTGTGCCCATCCTCATCGCCATCATCATCTCTATAACTCCCAATAGCCAAGGCTCTCTGAACGGTTCACAGCACGTCAAGCACGCCATCAGCCCTTTGTGCCCATCTCTCGCTTCTCTTCCCCCCTTCGCGGACGCCCCACTTACCTGCCCACCCCGATTCGCCCGCTGGAACCTGACTCAGCCAAAGCAAGAAGATGAAAACGGAATGAATCAAGCCTCTTTCTGCCGCACCAAGCATGGTCCCTCCCACCGGGAAGAGGCGAGCTGTTCCCGAGATGCAGCCCTTATAGTGAAATCCTTTGGCGATTGCGGCTGCTGCATTTAACTTTTCGCAAGGAAGGGTGAGTGGGTGTGGGCATGCGTTTTAAGCCACGTTGGTGCATGTCCAGAATTGGCCCGCCACAACACTCCTTGTTGTTTTCGCTCCTGCTCCTGCTTCCTGCTCCTGCTCCTGCTCCTGCCAAGGCTCGGTCTGCTCCGCGGAAAGATCTAGCGGCGCGGGGAGGCGGGGTCGCTCCCTCCGGGGCCGGGGCCGGGGCCGGGGCCGGGGCCGAGGCGGGGGTCGCGGCGCCCCTCCCCGCCGCGGACGGGGGAAGCGCGCACCTGCGGACGCGGCAGCTCGCGGCCCGCGCCGGCTCCGAGCGCGCTCCGGCCTGGGCACGTGCCCTCTTGCGGTCGCCGCGTGGGCGCGCGGGTTTGCGAGCGCCGCTGTCCCCGCCGTGGCCTCGGTCTTGCCGTCGGGGAAATGGGCGCCCGCGCGTTCCCCGCCGTCCCTTTGCTTCTGTGTTTGCGGGGCTGAACGCCTGCCTGTCCACTCTCGTAACATGGTGTGATAAAGGCGTTTTAAAATCGCAGCGATACATTTAAGGCTGCAGTCCCTGTGTGTACGCTTATCTGGCCAGGAGCACGGCCTATTAAACTTATAAGGGCTCAGTACCTGCGCGGGAGGTTGGCGACTCCTATGGCAGTGATACTTCTCATTCATTGCAGCTGTAATTTTGAGCTCTATGGGAGCTATCCGTGGTGCTGAACTGTTCCTCACAATCGGCCCAGCATCAGGGAGAACTCATTATAAAGCTTAAAATAAAAGCTGGAACAGATCAGGAGCCCCATGGACATAGTCACCAGCCATCCCGGACTGCCGGTTATATTGTAAAATATACCAGGAGGTAGTCAAGCAGGTGCCCATGGGCCACAATGCACCACTATAAACCTTTCTTGGTGCTTACTAAGGGCTTCTTCTAAGCATTGTTTTCTACTGTTCAAGAATCTGGTGCAACCAAATTGTTACCCCCACCCAATATATGAGTCCCTCCAATGGAAAACAATAAAAAGATGAAAGTTCAAATTCCCAACTGCACAAAGTTCATATTCCCAGACTTTGTTTCCACTGCACAGTCTCTTTTTCATTGTACAGAATGTACCTAGGTGCACATCAGAATGCATCCTTAAAAATAAAACCATGCATTTTCTTGATGGCAGTTGCAAATCTGGTGAACTAGGTTTCTGTTGGTGCTGAAAATGTTTCAGAGGAGTTATTTAAAACATTTGTGGCTACATCCATCTCTTTCAGGCAGGTGACTTCTTTGTCACTCAACAGTTTCTGAAATTCTCAACTGTGCTCATGGCCCACAAAGGCTGTTTCCCAGCCTATACCTTTCTACTCAAAATTAACACAACAAAGCTTGACGGAATGTGCTTCCAGGGAAGTGCGCAAAGAATCGCACTCTAGAAGCATCGAATCTGAGTGAATGCCAATACAATCAAGATCATGTAGCTGTGGAAAAAAGTGACAGCCATCATGAACAGGGCTCAATTCCATTTGAATTAATTGAAGGAATTACTGCCATCTCCAAATCCACCCCCATCCATTTTCAATAGAAGTTTTGGAGTGCAGAACGGTGAGCTTGAGACTTCTATCCTGAGTTCTGGACGGCAATAAACTCTGTGGTGCTGTGTTAATCACTTTTTTCAGATGGGCAGCACAATCCTATCTGTGCGGAGTTGTACCCAACGGATGTGCAAGTAGGAGGCCCCTTAAACAGTGGCAGATGTCTCAGCACCATGCGAGGCAGTCTACCAAATTACATTTATGCCCTGCCTTTTTTGCTCCAGGGACTCAAGGTGTTTTCCATGCTGCTCCTCAACTCCATTTTATCCTCAAGAAGAACCCTGTGAGGTAGGTTGGGCTGAGAGTCAGTGAATAGCCCAAGGTCACCGAAGGACCTTCATGGCTGAGTGGGGACTGGAACCCAGTGCTTCCCAGTCCCAGTCCTGCACCCTAGCGACAACATCACACTGGCTCTCCTGCTGGTAGTGCGGTCATGTATGGCTACTGCATCTCTGCCCTCCCTGATTGTCAGAGGAAGCAATGTTGCTAAATGATGGGCTGAATACGTATTATGCTTTAATTACCCATTCATTTTTGTGCTGTGCAATTGAGTGCAAATGAATCGAACCCCTGGGGAAGGTGGTGGGGGGGGGGGGACCTGGAAAAGGCCTTCTTTGACTGAGAAGTCTTTCAGAATAGAGCTTTTAACAGAGGAAGGAGTATTAACATGCCCGTGTGCCTTCACAGGCACTATCCAGTAAGTGGCTGAGATACTAACACACTGATGGGAAGTGAGACAACACCAGGAGATACCGTGCTGCTGGATTCTCCCAGCAGCTTCATGTCGCGAGATAAGTGATGGGAAAGTGTATCGGTGCAATGCCATTAATGCAGGCTTATTCCAAGGTGTCTGGTGGATCTTAGGACTGCAGCCTGTGCTCCCCATCGCCAGCAGCACTGCTCAGAAAGACAGGGCTGTTCCAGCCACAGAAAAGGGAGGGATTCTCAACAGTGGTGATGCCACCAAGCACAACATCCTAGGGTGGACTGCAGGCTAGCAAAGCGATTCCTTCGAAATTAGCCTGCTGAGCTCAATAGGACTTACTCCAGGGAAGTGAGCTAAGTTTGTAGCTACTCTGAGTGCACTCCATTCCCACTGAAATCAATCGGGCTGTTGCCGTTACTAACATTTTGTATTGATTTCAATGGGGCCTGAGTAACAAGCGTCGCCTTGATCGAGGCAAAAATATTTAGTAAAGGAGCCCTGCTGTAGTACACACATGCGAAAGAAGATTATAGCTTGAAGATGATAACTTTGGTGCTCCTTTGGAGCTCTGATTCTGGCTCAAAATCATGAGCAGGAAAGGGACCAGATGAAAGGATGAAGGCCACAGCGCCAAGCTTGGCATTAACTTCTATTGATGTCAACGGGGCTTACTTTTACTTTTTTTAAGCTCAGAGGGGAGACTTATTTAGTTGTTTTCTTTGAAAATGCTTTTGAAAAAATCTCAAAAGGGCAACCCCCTTTGTATTTTCTGCTCTGTCTCAAGAAGAGTATTGATTGCTTTTTGTCTATAAGGTCTCTGCATTCTGTTTGTGTAGACAGAGTGACAGTGTACATGAAAGCAGCCAGGAAAAATGTCCAAAGGAGCAGCAGTTTTCAGAGGGTATCCATGACCATCTGAGATCCCTCTAGTAAATCAGATTGGTAGAGAATAAAGAATTCATTTGGTGGAAAAGTACATGATCAGAAAATAATGTCATTATTTTATTCTGAACTTCAGGAACTCTCTTAATAAAATTAAATTGTTGTAAGATATTAGGCCATGAAAAATAGGAATTTTTTCTTATCACTTTCTACTTGGGTGGTGAATTATCAGTGAACTTGTATATGTTGAAGCTTCACATTCAAGCTTCTGGATCAATTTCACTCAGAGTTCAGACTGGTTTGGCATGCAGGCTACCATTGTCACTCTGTTGGATGAGCCATGTTAGGAAAAACGGAACTGTCCCTTGGTTGATTCTCTTTGATTTCTCAGTGTTTTAATAGCATGAACAGGGGTCTCCTTCAGGACTGAGTGCCTACGCTGGTGCTACATTGCAATGCTTTTGCTCCTGTCGCAATGATCAGTTGCAGAAGCTGCTGCTTGGGTGATATTCCTTGGCCACGAGGAGTCTCCAGCCTAGGGTCACAGGAGTCATGGCCCACTGTAATCTCCCGAGGAGGAGGATTCAAGGCCTCAAACGGGAATAACGCCTGGTTCGTACCAGGGCTTGCACCACAACAGGGGCTGTGGCTTTGCTGAGGTCCCAGTGGCTCAGGAGAGGGTGGCTTTGCTTCAGCGGAGAAGGCTGAGCATCCTCTTCCACGGCCATGGAGGAGACAGGCCCAACTCAGGGAGGACCACTTGGTCCTCTTTCTAAGTAGGACTTTGACCAAGCAGGTCAAACATACCAAAGCTGAGCCCTGAGTGGGACTAAGCAGGCTCTGGCATTCAAGCCCTTCAGTGTGCATCAAGTCAGTGCTGGAAACAGTGCTGTGTCTTGTTCCTGTTCTCCTTTGCACTGTGATTGATGCCATCTGCTTGAAACCCATGAGCTCCGAGATCCTGCCACCAGCCTGCGCAAGCTATCTGGCTCCATGACTGCGCTCCGGTCTTTGTCTTCTGCCTCCACTGCTCCTGCCCTGCCCCGGCCCCACGCGCACGAATGCCTGCCTGTTCTTCATCTCGACCATTCATCTCTTAGCCTGCTCCTAATCTGGCTGAACCGGTGTGCCTGAGCACTGGCCTGCTTCTTCACCTTGCTTCTTGCCCAGCCCTTGCTTCAGAGCCCCCCTCAGCTGATGCAGAGCGCTATTTAACCTCTGCATGAAACCACTGAGCGGCGTCCTCTGGAATTCTGGGCCATGATGCTGACGGCATGCAGCTCTGTTTTTCCTTTTCCTCTTCTTCGCGTGAGCCTGGGGAAGCGCTAACAGATGCTTGATTGTGACAATGGATTGCATGGGGCTAATAAGTTGAAGCTCAGTACAGACACGACTAATATGCTGCTAGCGGTCCTTTTGACTGTTTGGAGGGCGCTCAACTTGCGTTTCCTCTCAAGATGCAGGTTTGTAGCTTTGGGGGCTCTCCTGGAGTACTGCTGTTGCTTGAGGCTCAGGTGTGTCAGGATCTGGCCAGGTCTAGGGCTCCATCTGCTGGCTAGAACCAGAGCATGCACCACATTATCGGCAGGATTGGTTCCTGGCCCCTGCCCGAGCACTCAGCAACTTGAAGAGTACCAGCTTCCTGGAGCCCTCGGAGGAAGAGCTATAGGAGAGCAAGTGCCTCTCTCCAGAAGCTGCCTCAGCAGCACAGGTAACTTGCTTGTGTGCTCCAGTGCCTGCAACTTGTCTGATCTGGAGCCTGCCCTGCTCTGCCTTTCCCTGCTTGCTGCTGCCTTACCTTGCTTGCCACACCTTTACTGCCCCTGCATCCTACCTGGACAGCCTGCCTCAGGTTTCCTGCTCCTTGCCCCTTGTCTTACTGGTTCTTCCCCTTTGGCTTCTTTGTGACCTTACCCTTGTCTTGCT